TAGGCATAGCTGACTCTTTAAAAGCTGGATTCTGAAAACTGTGAAAATAATGTGTCTATTTACTACTTACATCTCCTGGCTGTGTTTACATTATCACACATCCCCAAAGGTCCCATGTTACCCACTACTCGTATTCCACAATCCCATCAACTCCAGCATATGTATCTGGTACAACATTGTTACACACCAAAACAAAAATACTATCTGCTCCATACGAGCAGGTTTTTCATTGCTTCTCCAGCTCCCTAAACTTGGCTCTTACTTTTTAAAAACACACATCCAACTTGTAGTACCAGCTACCAATTAAGTTGATCCTATCCAGCTGAAGCTAGGGCCCAGCATACTTCTGGTTTAAGTCCATTATGCTTATACTGATGTTTACAGCAGTATCCCTCATTTTTACAATACTTCAAGTTGGGTAGTTTGCTCCTATTATCCAGACTTCGTCATCACTCTCATCATCTGGTCACCAGTTGGCCCGTCAGGTAAGTGACTGTCTTGGAAGAGGAACATTGCTAGAGGTCACTGGGCTCCAGTTTCCACAGCAGCCTCCGTGGCTGTACCGCCTGGACTCTGCTCTTCACTTTGGCTCCGTAGATGCCCTCAGCCACTGGCTCCATGTCATCAGACCAGCAATGTTCTGGTCCGCTCCAGGGACTCTTCCAGGCAGCTCATATTCATTGACTCACGGACTCTCAGCACAATCCTTTCAAGTCAACACCCCCCCACCCACCCAACCACATTCCGTACCCTTTTCTGCAAGCAAAGAGCAGTTCCCGAGGCCACACTACCAGCAACAGAGGGGAGCGGAACTGTGGCAGCTGAGTTCCAGACACTGTACTTTTCACCACTGCACAGACTGCCTCTGTGATTATCCTATGTTTGAAGTACAGGAAGAAGCTTCATGGAAAATGTCCATTATATTTTAATCTCATTTTTCTATGAATTTTCTGAAACAACTTCATATATGTCTATTTAAAAATGTATTAGGATAAATAAGAGGTTATCATTTTAATACATATGTGCCCCGTAACTATGATATGGTGAAATTACATTTAAAGCATGATTTCTATGCTCTATAACAGGCATCCTCAAACTATGGCCGTGGGCCACATGCGGCCCGCCGAGGACATTTATCCAGCCCGCAGGTGTTTTTGCCCATTTTGTTTTTTACTTCAGAATAAGATATGTGCAGTGTGCATAGGAATTTGTTCATAGTTTTTTTTAAAACTATAGTCTGGCCCTCCAATGGGTCTGAGGGACAGTGAACTGGTCCCCTGTTTAAAAAGTTTGAGGACCCCTGATCTATAAGGTACATAACTAACTGACATAATTCAGAGTCCATTAATAATGGGAGTACACAGTTGGATGACTTTACACTTCAAATAAATGTGTTTTCGCTTTGGAGAAACACTCTTAAACTGTACAAGCTAGGCAGTTATATGACAAAAGATCTTCAAAACTCCTCAATGCTAATCTATAAAATTAGGTATATAGAGAAGAAATACAGTTTTCAGTAAACTATGTCATCTCTCACCCACACACATCATCCCCTCCACCACACACACACACAGTTTTGTGGTTTGTTTTTTTGACAAACACTGTGTCAACAAATCCAGGTAATAATACCAATGGGTGGGTGGGGGTGGGGGTGGATATGGTTGATAGAGAACAAGTAGAAACCAAAACCAGGATACTATTACTCACCTCTGTACTTAGGCTTAACAAGGACCATCAATCTTTCTTTTCATGAACATTAAATTGAAAAGGGAAAAAGAAAACTACAGATCAGTCTTCATAACCAGGGGCTAGAAACACTTCAAACCCTGAAAACCTGAACTGACAACTTGAAGCCTCTGTAGCTCTCTGAAGGACTTTCTGCACTTTATTCTTTTTTCATTTTTAATCAGTTTGCTCTATGGCCGTCCTGTCAAGAGCTGATGGAGTAGCACCGTCCAGGAGCTTGCCTTCCAGAGGCAGGGGTGACAACCACACTTTAATCGCTAAATACTTCCAAATGATTTTTTTGGGGGGTGGGCAGGGTAGATCTTACGTGCAATAGCAGTAATACTATTGCAGAACTTTGGGGAGGTGGGGGAGGTCTTAAGGGGTTAGCGGGGAGAGAAGCCAATCCTAAACTATGTTTCTTGACAGTTCGAGCATTTTCTTCATCATTCTTAAGTAGGCTCTTTCTGAAACCAGAGCATGTTCTGTCCCTGTGTACGTATCTTTTCATGCTAAGATCATAAGGAAATGTCCAGATTCAACGCGGAATGCTCCCATGGGCTTGTACTTTCCACGGTGACAATGTGATTAGAGAACTAGTTATTCATTCAACAGCCGTTTATATGCTGGTTTTTGCACCAAAGATTTGATAAATCTAAATAAGGCACAAAATGTTGGCACTTCATCTTACTCATACTCCACTTGGAGGGGTAAAAAGAATCAGGAGGGGTAAAAAGAACCCGGTGCCCTTTAAGTGTGGAGTGATGACAGAATCAAGCAGCAGCCTCACATCGAAGAGTCAGCAGTGAGAGCCCCGTGTCGGAGAGGAGCACTGAACTTGAAGAGGTGAAAAGGAGGTGGCTGGGGAAGGGCCTTCCTTGCAGAGCAGATGGTAAAAAGCATAACAATTCAGGAGAGGCAGGAAAGAATATGCCATGCTCCCAGACCACAGAGAAACCAGTGTCGCCACACCCAAGAACGGAGGGAGAGATGCATGGTATGAGATGACACGGGGAGGAAGGGAAAGTCCTTTCAGACCAAAATGAGGAGTAGGGTTATATTCTGGGACAGGACGTGTCCCTGAATATCTTCACGCAATGGATCTACATATTGTTAAAGAGCACGAAGACTACTTTGGAGAGGACCGTTTGGAGGAGAGCTATGGCAGATGTACACTGGGAGCACAAGCGGGAAAGGATGGTGACTGGGACTAAGTGCTCTCAGTGAAGATGGAGAGGAGCCAATTGACTCAAGGTCACTTTCCGTTTGGAACTAAAGAACCTGCCTGTAAACTGGATGGAAGAAAGAATGAGAATCAAAGTACACCTTGCCAGGCGGTTCTTCTCCAATGAAGCCACTACTGTTGTGCTGCAGAGCCAAACTACAAAGGCGCCATTTCCCATTTCTTGAAAAAGAATGTTCTCAAAGGAGAGCAGATTTCTAATTAAATTATCTATACATAGAACGCACTAGTTTCCATCTCTGTGAAAATTCATTTTCACAGAAACATCCATATTTGATGTGTAAATGGTAAAATGAAAGATTTAGTTATAATAGCTTAATAAGTCAACTTAGACCGCAAGTGTTTAAGAAGAAACATTTTATTTCAAGAATCTATAAAGACAAACTAGTAAGTTGATAAAAATTATAAACCTGGTTTTAAAGGGGAAAATACGTTTAATTTTAATTTAGAGGATGCTTTTCAATTCTTCAAAAATATCATATTTAAAATACTCTGTTTTACCTTTATTTCTCCTTCATATAAGTCAAATTGAGGCCCTGGGCAGTACAAATAGCTTGTGCATTTGGATCCTACCTGAAAAATTGGAGGTTCAAGTCTGCCAAGAGGTGCCTTGGAAGAAAGGCCAGGTGATCTATCTCTGAAAAAATCATTCTTTAATACTCTATGAAGCGCAGTTCTATTTCGTCCTACAGGACTGCAACAGATCAAAATAAACTCACTGGCACACAGCAACATACTACCTAGGGAATTAAAGTTGGACTCTGAGTCTAACTCTCAATGACTAAATGGCTTATAATAGTGGAGGAATCTCATATTTCCTTGGCTATATTTCTCAAATTATTGAGAAGAGGTCTAAGAAGAACATGAGATATGTGTATCACTCATTTTTATACTCCTAATGCCTAATACATGTGTTTCACATGGGGTGCATGTATAAATCAATGGATAAATATCCACCCACCATGACGGTTCAAATGATGCCTACAGACAGAATTTTTTAAAACAAATGTTCATTTTAAAAAGCTATGCTTCCCGTTTTTTTTAACACATACCTTTTAATCAGAACAAATTGAATTACATTATTTCATCTAATATGCTGATAAAGTATGTGTGAAACCTTGTCAGTTCTTTTCACATGATCAGCTTTATCTATAATGCCTCTTACAGGTGGGTTGCCTGCCTCTAAAGAAAAGAGTTGGCTTTCACACTCTGTGGAATAAACTGTATTACGGTGTGCCGCAGAAGACTGAACGTAGCATGGACTCCCAGAAGAACAAACAAATCTGTCTTGGAAGAAGTACATCCCGAATGCCCCTGAGGCACAAGAACGGGAAGACTTTTTCTCACCTCCTTTGGACATGCTCTTGGGAGAGACAAGCCACTGGAAAAGGACACCAGGCTTTGTAAACTAGAGGGTCCGAGAAAACGAGACAGATGCTGAATGAGATGGATTGATAACAGGAGCTACTGCACTGGGTTCACAAGGGTGGTGTTTCCTTCTGTGGTACAAAGGCTGGCCCACCGATGAAACCACTCGATCGCACCTAACCACATGGAAGAGCTTTCCAAACGTGGAACAGAATGGACTCGCCCATCGGTGGTGGTGCTGTTAGACGTCCCTGAGGTGATTCTGACGTCTACTGATCCCTGAGCGACAGAGAGTGTCCCCCTAGGGTATGCTGGACATTATTTTTATATTAACAGAGAGCTCATCTTTCCTCCACGGAGCTGATGAGTGTGTCTATTGCACTTAGCGCTCACGTGCTCCAGCATCGTGCTGCTGCGTTCTTTGGCCCTAGGTGGCCATGCGCACTTCTGCTGAGGCTCATTCAGCATTCCAACCCAGGGTGAATCCCAGCTGCATCGCATGGAATAAGCCCTGTACCTGAAAGCGCTTATAAATCCTTTAGAAATATTTCTCTATTGCAAGATCAAATCTAACATCTTAGGGGAAAACAACCACAATTTAAAATTGTTTTGATAACACAATAAAGCTGTGTCCAGTAACACAATCTAAGAGGAAACAAGATACCTTCCAGTGCTTTTTTCTCCGAGGAGAGTTTAGAAGCCGCCGCAGGAGCTTGATACAAAAAGTCACAGAGAAAGGTGGACTGGCAGCTCTCTGGACTTAATCCACCCTCAGAAGGAATATCATGCTGTGGGAAATCTGGAAAAATTAAAAATAATACCTATGAAATCTAAAATAATTTTTCTTCTGCAATTAAATATGAGTTATAAGCTAGAAGACAAACTTCATGGAATACAGCACAAAATAAATACACTGAACTATTTATTTGACTTCACACAAAAAAGCAGCATAGTCAAGCTAATGAATATAAACATTGAATGTCATGTTGGTGGAAAAGATTATGTGAGATTAACTATTTTAATCTTCCATTCATAAGACAGTAGAAATAAAATTTGGTGGCTGAACATTCTATAAATGCAGTAAAAAATAATTAGTCTCAAAAATGTTAATCGTTTAGATAATTACGGTTTTCTCTCTTGTTTCCTTCTTGATAAATACACACAGATTCGAGGTGGTGTGCTTTTTGGAACCCACCAGATGAGAACAAATGGACAGGGATAGTAACTCACCTGAGAATTTGTTGTGGTAGAGAAATTCCATTTGCAGACTCTGCCCAGCCTTCTTGGCCAGTAGGTAAGGGGTGCTATGCACGGGATCACCGGTTGCACACATAACATCAGCTCCACTGAACAGCAAAGCCATTGTTTCCAGAACATCCGGTTTCACCACAGCAGAACAGAGAGCCTGGGGTTAAAAGAATATAAACTTTTTCAGAGAAGAAGATTTGATTCTAGAAACTAAACTGAGAGAAAGCCTGCTTATTCACTTCTGAGATAGCAGTCGCATTCCTTTGTTTTCCTAAGCGAGCTTCTGATAATTGTGACCTGAATCGGGCAACAGGCACAATTACTGTTACTATGGCCTGGTTACTAAGGACTCATATAGCAGCCCATTTCCTCTAAGTCTCAAGTCAATGTTTCTGGTTCAGTGAAGTTCCACACATTTCAGTCAATCCTATTTAGTTGTGAAGAGGATTTTATGCTCATATACTATGACAATGGCTGATGATTAAAAAA